CCCTCCCCCGCCTCCGCCTCGTCCTCCACCGCTCCTCCGCCTCGTCCTCCACAGCTCTCCGCCTTCTCCTCCACCGCTCCTCCGCCTCCTCCACTGTTCCTCGCCTCCTCCACCGCTCCTCCTCCTCCTCCTCAACCGATCCTCGCCTCCTCCACCGCTACTCTGGCTCCTCCTCAATCACCTCTCGATTCCACCACATCCTCCTCCACCGCCTCATCCTCAGGTCCCCTAATTTACAAAACTCTAGCCTAATTTAATTGACCATTTAACTCAAATTTCCCTATTTACAGCAAATTAATCGAGGACCCGACGTCGTCTTCTCTTCCTCAGACATCCTCTTTCTCTAGCAAACTTATTTAAGGTAATTTCTAAGAGTTTTCTTATTTTTAGTAAATATTGAGTTTTTTCTGCTATTATCTTGTATTTTCTAAAATTTATGGTTATTCATGATTATATTTATGTTCTTCCTTCAACTTCCCTGGCATTTCGGTTTATTTGCATGCACTCTATTATTTTTCTAGGTTTTCTGTAGATATACGGTGACAGATATAATAACTTTCCATCATATTGGCAGGTATATAAATACTTTAACACTTACTTCTAATAATTATGGAAAAATATTGACAGTTATATAAATAGCTTAACACTTTTAATAATTATGGAGTTTTAAGATGATAAAAGAGCTTTCCATCATCCTTTCATAATGAAATATTTGAGAATAATAGCCTACATAGAGCATCAATGATTAGGTGAGGTTGTCTGTAATTTCAAAGACGCAAATCTGAGCTAATTTTTTTTTCAAACTTTGATGTATTACACATACTGTTTTTTAAGAATAGTACCCATATAGTGTGATACCTCATACAACTCATTGGCATCTCTGAGGTATTTATTGTGATTGGCCAACAAGAGTTTTTCTATGATCAGGTTCCTGATGCACCTAGAAGCCTTGGGCTTGCTCTCTATCTCAGCATCTATGGCATTGGAAATTTTATTAGTAGTTTTGTTTTGTCTGTGATTGATGGAGTAACTGAGAGTGCAAGTGAGAGTTGGTTCTCTAATAACCTGAACCATGCACATCTTGACTACTACTATTGGTTTCTGACTGTTCTCAATGCCCTATCGTTTGTGATCTACATGTATTGTGCTCATGCTTTTGTCTATAAGAAGAAAGATAATGGCGCATTGTAATGCCAACTTTCTGAAAAGAAAAAAAATATTCAAGTAGCATAAAAAGAATATTTGTTTGTTGTGTGTTTGAAATGCCTGGTTGAATCTTGATACAAAACTAATGTGGGACTTGAAGCGCCTCAAAGACGAAAAACTTACACTTCATTAAACTTTTTGGCTTTTAATTGTAACCCTATATTCGAAGCAAAGTCATGATCATGCTTAGCTTATTCCCTAAATTCATGTTTTTAGAAGTTATCACTGATAATTCATTTTATTTAGGTTATCATGGCCCGCAACTACATTAGAGATAAGGATTGGATGTACGTGGGTCGTGCAGAACGCATGCAATTTATTTTCGTTAATGGAGTTAGTGCTTTCATGGATTTTGTACGTAGACACAATATGATCTGACATGGGAGACTCATTTGTCCATGTAATAGATGCGCGAATAGGTTGCATCAATTGGAGGAAGAAATAGAACTTCACATTGTGAAGAATGGTTTTGTTAGCGATTACAAAAATTGGGTATACCATGGACAAATTGAAGGTCTCAGTGATGCAGATGAAGAAGAACAAGAAGAAGATAACTTATTTCTTGATGAGGAAATGGAGGAAATGGTTGAGGTAGCTCTAGGTAACACTAACACTGCTGAAGATCCTCCTTTCGGAGGAGGACATCGTGAAGACAATTATGACAAATATATGAATGATGCTAGAAGGCCAATTTATGAGAATGCAAAACACTTCAAGCTGTCATGGTTTGTCCATCTATTCCAGATTAAACGTCTAAATAAATGAAGCAACAAGTCATTTACGATGCTCCTCAAGTTTCTTAAAGATTCTATGCCTCCGAGGAACCATGTGCCTAATAGCTGGTATGAAGCTCAAAAGATAATGTCTAATCTGGGTCTAAAGTGTGAGATGATACATGCATGTCCCAATGATTGTATAATTTACTGGAAAGAAAATTCAGATAAGAAGGAGTGTCCTACTTGCGGAGAGGCTAGATATAAGAAGAAAGTTCATAGTCAAAAGAAGAATATACCTATCAAGATAGTACGATACTTTCCCATTACACAGAGGCTACAGAGGCTATTCAAGTGTAAGAAGACAGCGGTGGCGATGACTTGGCATCACCGTGCACGTCCAAGTGAAAATGGACGAATGAGTCATCCTAGAGATACGCCTGCATGAAAGGATTTTGACAGTAGGCACCCAACATTTAGTCAGGAACCTCGCAATATCAGACTGGGATTGGCTAGTGATGGTTTTTGCCCCTTTAGCTTTAAGGGTAATCCCCACAGCACATGACCTGTTGTGATGATGGTTTATAACCTCTCACCGTGGTTGGCTATGGACCAATCATATTTCATGATGCCTCTTCTTATTGATGGTCCAAAGTCACCGGGAAACAATATTGACGTCTATCTTCGACCTCTTATCGAAGAGTTGAGGTCTTTATTCATCGATGGTGCGGAGACATACGATGCGGACATGGGGACAAACTTCACCATGCGTGCAGCCTTAATGTGGACAATCAACGATTTTCCTGCATACGGAATGCTATCTGGTTGGTTTGTACATGGTTACACTGCATGTCCTTACTGTCATCTCCAGACAACATCGAGAAGACTACCCTTTAGCAATAAGACTTGTTATTGCGGCCATCGGCGCATGTTGGATGAAAATCATCCGTACAGAGATGACATCATCCACTTTGATGGTACTAAAGAGAATCGTCCGCGTCCAAACCCATTATCTGGAGAGGATATACTTGCTCAGTGGAATGATAAAAACAACGTGACTTTCGGAAAAGTTAAGGGAAGGCAAGAAACACCACAGGGATGGAACAAGAAAAATATCTTCTTCGAACTACCCTACTGGAAGACAAATAAAGTGAGGCACAATCTAGACGTCATGCACATTGAGAAGGGAGTATCTGAGCACATACTTAATTTATTTCTCTGTAAAGATGGAAAATCAAAAGATAACCTCAAAGCTCGAAGGGATCTCCAGGCGTGGAACATTAGAAAAGAGTTGCATCCTATACCGAAGGCAGGGAATCCAGACCAATTTGTACTCCCTAATGCCGTGTATCACATGTCACCAGATGAGAAGAAAAAGTTTCTTCAGGTGTTACATGAGTTGAAGGTTCCTACAGGGTTTTCAGGATCATTTAGTAAAAAGATAAAGATTGTTAAAGGCAAGATCGAAGGGTTGAAGAGTCATGATCACCATATTATTATAGAGCATCTTCTTCCACTCTCTCTCAGGGCTTCCCTTCCTAAATCAGTCGGTTTAGTGATCAACGATCTTTGCGGATTCTTTCGGGAGTTGTGCGCTAAAAACATTGAGGATGATAAGTTGAAGAAGTTAGAAGCTGAAATTCCCTTAATTTTGTGCAAGCTTGAGTGAATTTTTCCACCATCATTCTTTGATATCATTGTACACCTGACTGTTCATCTTGCAACCGAGGCTAGGCTTGCCGGACCGGTACAATATCGATGGATGTATCCTATCGAAAGGTACCTTTAGTTTTACCGTTAACGTAATCGATATATTTTTCTTTTACATCTTGGATGTGATGATTTGGTGTTAAGCTTTTGTAGGTACCTTCTCACTCTGAAAAATTATATTCGCAATAGAAATCGGCCAGAGGGTTCTATTATGGAAGGTTATCTGCTAGAGGAAGTAACCACTTTTTGTTCCCGTTATCTGGATGAAGATATTAAGACAAAACTCAACAGACCTCTTGTGATTCATGACGGACCATCAAAAAAGCCGGACTACAATAGAATGACTCTCACATTTATCAACAAGATTCATCGCTTTATCCTTCTCAATATCGAATGCCTTGGAGAAGTTAGAAAGTACGTCTATTTCGCATAATTATATATGTTTATATGACATAATATACTTCTCACATTAACTACTAATTTTGACATTAGAATACACATGGATGAAATACGTGCAATGCATAGTAATTGGAATGAGGCACGCGTTGAAACACATCATCAGGACAATTTTTGCAATTGGTTTAAACATTATGTAAGATTTCTATTATCTCAATTTTTGACTCATTCATCCAATCTAATCTAACATCTTTATGTAATTGTCGTATTGACCTTTTTGTCAGAGTCGATTACCAAGTGTAGAATCAATATTAGATAAGGAACTTGGATATTTGGCTACACTTCCAGATGCTGAAGTTAAATACTATAAAGGATTCGGTGTTGGCGGTTACAAGTTTGAAATCAAGTCTATAGAAGAATCTCGAACCACTCAAAATAGTGGAATTGCAACCTTAGGCACTAATGACGAGATATACTATAGGTACCTTGATAACATACTTGGTATCAACTATCCTGGACGAGCAGGATGCATTTATGTCTTTCAATGTGTTTGGTATGATATGAAGACTGGAACTGGTATGTGGAGAGACAATTACTGGACTTGGGTAGATGAATATGGATTGACGAGTGTAAACACCACACGTTTTTCCTTTGAGGATGATCCATTTATATTTCTAGAACAAGCATTTCAAGTATACTACTCGAAGTGCTTGAGGCATTCGGGGTGGAGTGTTGTATGTCGATGGAGGCCCAGGGATACTTACGACGTCCCACGGTTCATAGATTCGGAGGTTGTAGAGATCAATGATGACGAAGAATTTGAGCAGGGAGAGGTTGTATGTCAAGATAAATCTCCTGAATCTGATAAAATTTCATGGGTTAGGAATGATTTGAATAGTGAAATACTTGTAGATATTCCTATAATTTCTAGGGAATCTGAAGAACCTAACACTTCTGTAAAGCGAAAAAGGTAAGTATTATAAAAATTCATGTTGTTTAAAATTATATCTTTAAATTTATATATATGTCTATTTCACATATATCTTATATGAATTGTACAATTATTTATAGGGCTTGACGAATATGTCTGGAGTTCCATCACGGAGCAAATCACGTAGACTTTTACAGCGCGGAGATCTGCATCGTCAAGCGAGAGAGCGTAGGAGAGAACTCGAATCTGCTCATGTTTCTACATCCATACCTAGCGTTGGGGAGTTTACTCCAGTTAGAGGTAACTATTTATTTTTCTTTTGATTCTGTTTTAACATGTCACCTAATCTTCATCCCTTATAAAAATCTAGTCAGATGCAAAATAGTTTTTTACTTGCACTCCATCTCTTACACAGATATAGATTCAAATCAAAATGCACCCACACAAGAAAATGATTTACAGACGACCCCCCCTTCACACACTATACCTTCTGGACAATCGTCAGGTCAGTATCTTTCTTCATTATCTTTTGTTGATTAAGGTGTTTTTTGCTAAGAAATGGTTACATAATGCTTCTATCTCTTACATAATTTTGGAAGACTTCTTTACAAGTTCACGTATTATTAGCGTCCCAATTCCATATTGTAATCATCTTACCCACACATGTGCACCGGTGTTTGCACATCTTGTAAACATTTTGTAATCATTTTGGGCCTGCACACTCCATATGCACACTGTTGTGTATCGTCTGCAGATACACAGTAGATAAACACACTGCTGTGTATCTGCTGTAGGTACACAAGAGTTGTGATGCTTGTGTAAATATCTGAAGCATGTAGATTGATTTTTTAAATGATGTTCTTGGCAATCTTTCTGTTGAGATGTGCAAGTAGATGACTGGTGTGAGGGAAGGTCCATTGTGGCTGGAAGATCTCCCTCATTTGGAAAGTGTTAGTATTTGTAAATGCAATTAGATTGATTTTTTTAACAAAATCTCCAATATGTCTGATGAGGCTTCAGCTTAGCAAGCATATGAAAAGGGCCTGAGGGCAATAAAAACTAGGGTGATATCTACAGAGCACACTTAAAATTATATCTTATTGCAATTGCCAATTTTGCAGGATAATGTATCAATTTTGCAGGCTCATGTATCATTTTATTAATGTTTTTAGTTTTATGCAGTTAGTTTCTGTGGTGCAACCTTGCATTATTCGACTTAGCATTATTCGACCAAGAATACTTTAGCATTACTATACTAAGAATACTCTTTTTGCTTAGTGCACTAACTGTCCCGTGAACACAAAACATGCTGCTGGTTAACAATGTCAAATATGGAGAAAATAAACTTGATGTACCAGTTCCTCTCTCTGTCAACTTGATCAAAGTCAAGGCTCTTGTTGACAATCTTGTGCTTGGTTCTTGCAGTGTGGAATCTGGAGATGGTGATCCAAAGTTTTGTTGTTGAAGCCATTTTTTTGTTGTTGTTCCAATGGCTTTGGTCTTGTATGACTATCATCAACCTTGAGCACATTTATATGCGAGTAATTGGGGGTGTCACATGACAAGGATACTGTTAATATTTTACTGACATAAGTGCGTAGTAAAAGATAATAAATGGTTTTCTTACATGTACATCCTCATCAATATATTTACCATGTGTTTTCTTAATAATCCAAGAGGCCCCACTTCAAACATTGTTTGATTATCACTTAGATGTAGCTAGTGTGAAAAGCTCAGATCATGCAATTTGAACTTACATAAATAATTTTTATTGTCCAGCTGCATCTACATCTGCACCGGTAGGTGTTCCAAAACACTCTTTTAATCTTCGTCCTAATCGTGCTCTGAAACGTGCGGAGCGACAGGGCGATGGAGGTAGCCGTTTGTAAATATATCATTTTAATTTATATTATTTATTATTCTTAATATTATCTAATATCTTATATGTCTCATCACATACAGTGCAGTCACAATCCTCTGTTCGCACTCGAGGCTCTAATACTAAACATAACCTGCATCCTGATGCTGAAAAGGGAGAGAAGGCATGGCCTTTGTACCTTAATAATAGGGGCCGCCCCATTGGTGAGTATGCTGAGAAATGGGGAAAGTATGTGGGGGTGGAGAGCCGTGTGTACTGCAAATATCCTCTTCATTTAGAATGGGGCGATGAACATAATAGGTCATTTGATGATTTCTTTATAAGATGTCAGGTATAAATATGTTTATATTTTGATTTATCTGATTAATTTGTTATCATTTGGTACAATCTATTTTAACCATAATGTGATTCATTTATTGAATATGCAGAAGGATTATGAGTTTCTCCCCATGGATCCTAATCAGCCCCTCTCCCATCATGTTGTTTATCGAGGAATGAAGTCTCAGTTGCAAGAGAGGGTCCGGTAGAATAGGTGTCAGGTAAAACAAGAGTGTTTTGAGGTGTGGAAAAATACTCCCGAAGCAGAGAGAGGCTCTCTGGACTACTCAGGCATTTTCTTGGATTGATAGAGACTCATGGGCTAATTTGTGCGCTTATTATGATTCAGAGGACAAGAAGGTGTATAGTTTAAACTAAAATAAAATGTTTAGTAGCTAATTAATTTTGCTTTTGTTTGATTACAAATCTAAATATGATAATAACATGTAGGACGAGGCAAGACGTAATGCGCAGAATCGGGCATCAAATTTGCATGGTCGAGCAACTTATACAGGTGGCTCGAGGAACATGTCTCGGGCTATGGATCGATTGGTAAATTTGCTTCTTAAAGCTATTTAAAATTCAAATTATATAATTCTTAATGATTTGATCGATTATACAACATATTTTTGGTGAATTGTAGAAAAGTCAAATCATTGAGGATGGTGGCACACCTACAATGTTGAAACTATATTTGGGTACCCACTCGTCATCAGTAGATAAGATTACTGGAGAGTATACATACCCGGACAACAGCACTAAAGAGTATTGCGTAAGTCTTCTTTGGATGAAAATATCTTTACTACACATGAATTTCTTGATTTGGATGGAGCTGCCATTTTTTACATTTGCTCTTTACTAGAATTTGATGCGCACATGGTACTAGCAATAACTGTTTCTTTTCAGTTCGTCGATTGAAAGCATTTGTGCTAACAAAAGTTGAATTGAGGATGAAATAAGAAGCTCTTTAATTAATGAGGCTGTTTGAAGTTCTTTCATTGAGTTTTTAAATAAAAACGATGAAATAAGAAGCTCTTTAATTAATGAGGCTGTTTGAAGTTCTTTCATTGAGTTTTTAAATAAAAACGTCCAATCAGATAATCTTATACAATTAATGAGAACTCTGTGGTGCTTGAATTGTCTAATGATTTAGTACTGACTCAATCAGTCAAAATATTAAGAATGTTGTCTGATGGAATTATGGGAAGATATTGCTTATAAGGGGATGTTTGCTTGTTTCCGAAAAAAGCAAGATACTAAATCACAAGTTGATAAGTCTCAAAGTACAAAATATCATGAATGAAACAAAAATAGAATGGCTCAAAATGCTTTTTTTTTATTTTTTGGAAAACTCACCATCATTGAGGATGGCAATAATTAGAACCATGAATGGTGAGAAATCATTGAGGCTGGGGCATCATTGACACCATCTCCAGTCATTCCACATATGTGCTTCTTCTCTTGCAATCTCTTCACAATTTCATATTTGTGCTCTGTTTTAAAGAAGATCAAATACTAATTGCTTTAATGTTACTGTAGTCAAATTTGTAGTGTATTGCATATTGTTTCTTTCACTATGTTCATTTTAAATTTGCAGTGTATTGCATACTGTTTCTTTCACTATGTACATAGAGAAAATGTTAGGCCTTTTTGGCATAAGTACAGATCACCTCATAGTTTTAAGCCCATAGCAAAGAAAAACAATATGCAAAAATACAGATCACCTGCAACTTTGATTGTTCTAGTTTATTTCTGTATCCTGCCTTTAGTCAATCATCTACACTTCAACTGCTTTAATCCATATCAAGGATTGAATTGCTTTTATGCTATAATCATACTTCTATTTTGTTTTTATTTTTTCTTAAATATATCTACTTCTGCGTTGTCGACTTAAAGTTGAATACTTTATACTAGAGTAGAATCGAGTCATCTAGGAGGCAACCTTATCAGGGGTCGATTCAGCCACAGAGGACGATGCACTTTGTTTCACCCAGATGTTAGATTCCATGCACGGAGGGCATCACGGTGGTTATGAAAGAGCCATGGGCATTGATGCCACTTGGACTTACTTGAGGGCGTCCTCCATACCGGAAATCGACACTTCTAATCAAGAGCTACGTCGCGACGTGGCTGATCTTAGAACTCGGGTAGCTGAGATGGAAAGTCCCAGGGAGCAGCTTAGGGAGGAGTTTAGGTCTCAGATGCAGTTGATTACTAACAATATGGTACATATGCTAATATTCACACACTCGCATACATATGTACATTGGCATACACAAATACATACATCTTATACTTATACACGTAAACATACACATAGACTTAACACTCAGACATGTATACACTCATACATTGCTATTACTTTATAGGTTAATTCTCAGGTCGCTCGTCCTGCTCCCACTCGTAATGATCCACCAGCTTTTACTCGTCCGACTCCAATTCCTCAGCCCGCTACTGATATACCACATTCTGCTCGTCCTGCTTCAACCGCTAACACTTCTACTTCCAGTGCTCAAGGTCTGTCACATGAGAATATTGCTAGGATATTTGCAGACTTAAGGCGTTCGGGCTTGTCCCAAGAGGATATTCTTCGATGAATTTCTTCTGTTCATTGGCTGGATGGATCAGGCCGCTCCTATCTTATATTTTGATGTATGAGACATTTTGGATATTAGAGACAAATATATAATATTGAATACTTTTCATTGTGAGATATTGAGTAATCATTGTGCATGTATCTCTAATATTACATTTTGAGTAATTATTGTGTATTTATATATAACATTAAATTTTTAGCACCGTTTGAGATATTTTTGGGTATGTATATGTTTTTTATTTTATTGTGAGATATTGAGTATCATTGTGTAAATGTGTATTTTAAATGTAAGTAGGTAAATAAATAAAATACTAAAATAAAAAAATAATTAAAATTAATAGGCCAAACGGTTGTAACCGTTTGGTCAGATACTTGTCCAAACGGGTGAAACCGTTTGGGATAACAAACTATACCAAACAGTTGGAACCGTTTGGCCAATAGTTAGGCCAAACGGTTCTAACTGTTTGGCCAAGTTTTTGGCCAAACGGTTACGACCGTTTGGTATAGTTTGTTGTCCCAAACGGTTATAACCGTTTGGGATAACTTCCAAACGGTTGTAACCGTTTGGGCAACGACCTAAACAGTTACAACCGTTTGGGCAACCGTTGGGGAAAACTCATCCCCAATGGCTTTAGCCCAAACGGGTTTTTCCCCTTTCCCAAACGGTTGGAACCGTTTGGGAGGGGGTTTTCCCAAACGGTTCCAACCGTTTGGACTGCCCTGTTTTGTACTAGTGACATTACTAATCCTCCAAGCTGATCAAATAGGTCGTCTATACTGGGCAAAGGATACATGTGTTTTATCGTCACCTTGTTTAACTCCCTGTAGTTGATGCACATTCTCCCGATGCCATCTTTTTTTACTAGCAACAATATTTTTCGCCATGATGACGCACTAACTCTAATGAAACCTTTTTGCTTGAAGTCTTCAGTCTGAGCTTTCAACTCTTCTAACCCTTTTAGTACCATCCTATATGGTGCTTTAGATATTAGTGTTGTATCTGATAAGAGATATATAGTAAACTTCATGTCTCAATTAGGGGACAAACCTAGTAATTTTTCTAGAAATACATTCATGAATTCTAACACCACTCACAATAACTCCCACTCTCCAATTGGCTCTTCAACTTCAATGAGCGCTAGCACATTATCGAACTTTGGTGATATTTCATACGTAAGAAGGTGGGAATTATTTTTGTTGGGATTGATGATCCCTGGTTACAACTTCCACAATCTAGAGACTAAACCACAAGCTCACAATATGTCGCCGTCATCCCCTTACAGCCCTCGTCGGAGTTCCCCGACGTCGCGCACCACCGCGTCAGATCCGACCCGCGCCGTCAGCGTCGATACATTCGACGAACCCCAAGGCAAGATCCCTCTTGCTCAGATCTGAATTATTTGCATAGTATATTATGACTATTTATCTGTGTGGGTTGTTTGCTGAATAATATTGATCTAAATAATTGATATGTGATAAATAGTGTTTTTAGAATAATTATAATAAGTTAAAAGAATTTGTTTCGAGGAAAAAGAATTATTTTAGAATATTATGACCAGTGAGGTGTTAAAATTAGAATTTACGTAATTTTATTGAAAAAGGAATAAATTAAAGGTAAATTATAAAATAGAAAATATTATTTCCATGCAGAAAAAGAATAACATGGTTAGGAAAAATATTGGTTGGACAGTGCCTAAATCGAACCTACTTGACGTGTCGACACGCGTGAGTCGACACGAAAGACGGAGTGTGACGACCGATCTTCGAGTCGACGCCATAAGTCAACTCGAAGGGCAGTGAGACCCGGCCCGACAAATCATAGGATTTTATTAGGAGTAATGTCGACATTTCATGTGTATGATAACTACTAATTGTGATCCCTCTTATACTGTTCATGTATAACATTTTGTTCGTAGTCTCTAATCATGTTTTATAATCTTTATTTTATTAGACTTAATTACTTGTTGTTCCATGCTGTGATTGAGAACCTTAGTAGTTCATGTCCTTAGTGGCCTGGCGTGTCGTGTACAAGACCTAAATACCTGTGTTTTGTTGACTTAGAAAAACAATGAGTGTTGGGATGGAAATTCTTGGTTCAGGTGATATCGTGGATGTTGATTATTTCGAGGCTCGCACCAGTGGATCGTTTCACTCTGGGGTGGGTCTGAGGAGCAGTGATATGTGGATGTTTATGTATTTTCCAGGCTCGCACCAATGGATCGTTTCACTCTGGGGTGGGTCTGAGGAGCAGTGATATCGTGATTGTGTATCGTAGTTGTTGATTATTTTTTAGGCTCGCACCAGTGGATCGTTTCACTCTGGAGTGGGTCTGAGGAGTTGGGATATTTGTGATTTACGATTAGTCAGTTACCCGAGGATATGAATGTTGGCTCTGTGTGAGATAGGGACCAGTGAGTTGTGATAGGATGACTAGTTGTTTTCTTTTCATACATAGATCAGGATTAATATTTAATTATCTACAATTTGAGACATATAGTATATACATGAGGGTTTCCTTGTTTGGATTATTTCGCTCGACGTACTACGTCTCGAGTTGTAGATTTTTAAGTATTAATTCCATCTATTGTATGACCTTGTTGCTTGGATGTTTTTTTTTATTGCTACCTGCATGATCTTCTTACTTGGTTGATTTTTGGATTCTTCTGATTATTAGTATTCCAGTTGCATGCCTCTAACATTATTACTATCATCACATGTTCTATTTCTATTTCTGTTATAGCATTGACCACGCATATATTATCATTACTGTTATTGTATTTGTTCCTGCCTTGGGGGATCTTTCCGTGTGTTCCACACGCTGACGTACTCTTATTTTCTGGGTGTATGTCAGATTTAGGAGATGAGCAGCCTCATTTCGGGATAGTACAGGAACCAGATGATTTGTAGCAGTAAGGTCTTCCAGATGGATCAGAAGAATAACCTGAAGCTTAGACTTTATTTCTGTAGTAGTTGATGAGCGCTAGATCTCTTTTGCAGAACCTTACTTTAGTCTGATGTTAGATTTAGTTGTTTTAGTAGTACTTTCCTTTATTTCTGTTGGATTATGTATTTTTATATTTTTAGTTGGACCGTTTTGTAATAAGGGCGTGTTTGACCCATATTTTTAGGTCTGGGATGATTTACCATTGATGATATGTTTATTTTTATTCTGGGTTGTCTTTATATTCTTACTATGTATGATCGGGGACCTGTGACTTCGCATTATACTTATTTCCAGATGTTTAGCGTATTAGATTGAGAAGAAAAGAAAAGAGAGAAAAAAAAAGTAGAGTATATTTCTTCTCAATCTAATACGTCGCGGGCTTGTTCACGTTCCGGTTCTCGTGTATTTTGGGAAGCGGGGTGTGACACTAATGCATGTCTCATATCCATCATGCCTGCCAACTCTGCCTCAGCCTCTGCCAGCTTTCTTTGAAGAGTCTTAAGTTGAACTTGAAGATGATCGACTTGATGTTGTTTTTAGAGTTTAGCGTCTGCAACCTTTTTATCCTCACAAGATAAATTTTCTTCGATCTCTTTAAGCTCCTTAACTCGTTGCTTGGTCTCAAGCAATTGATGATTAAGTTCGAATAAGGAGTCATCCCTCTGGCATATAGTTCGCATTGCTTGTTCTTCAGCTAAAGGGTAAAGGGATCGAGACTGACGATTATGACATTGATTGAAAAGATCTTCAACCTTGGTCAGGTGTAACTAGTAAGGTAATACCGCGAGATCGGAGGTCAAGTTCTTCATCAGGTCCAAGAAAGGAACCAGCACCTCTTTAACTCTTGCAAAGTCTCATCCACAATCTAAGACCTGAGCAGGAGATTCTCTCAATATGATGAGGAAATTCTCCAATATTTTCGATACGGCAAAATTTTTTGCCAAAACGATAGGAGAAGAGTGTGTGCTTCTAGAGGACATTGTTTCATGAGGAGCGACAAAAGAAACCGTAGTTTCTGTGAAAATTGGTGGTCCAGTGTACACGATAGGAGTGTCGATAGTTGCAGCAACCATTGCAGTAGTGATAGGGGCGCCAGTGACTGTAGTACTTGGCACAATGCGAGTCTCAGTCGTGACGATGGAGCTGATAGACACAACACTCATGGTCACGATGGTTTTAGCTTTAGCCATGGTGGTCGGAGAAAGTTCTGCCCCCTCCTCAGCTTCATCAGGATTAACAGTCGAATTATCAACTCGGCCTGTTTCCATAGTTAAACTTGGAGGCATCCTACTTTCAGTAGGTTCACTAGAAGCTAGTCCTGCCTCAGTACCCACATTAATGAAGGTAGTAGAGTCTGTGGAAACAGCTAAACACAGTGGACAAAGTCATTAGTACATTAAAAATCCAGAAAGGTAAATGACTATATGTCCATCTTACTAGGATCAACAGGAGCATTTTCGACGTTGGTACTTGGCGCCAAACGCAATCCAGCACGGAGTCAGGCTAAAGGAACTTCATCCTCAAGTTTTTAATCCGTTTCAACTTGGAGTGACTCTATCAAAGGGGTTTTGGGCGGAGAGATATTGTGCCTTGGTTTTTTTGCGACGCGTTTAGACTTGCGCATCTGCCCGAGTTCTTTAGACTTCTCCCCTACTTGTCTCAGGGCCTTAACTTTTGCAGTTCGTTCTAAATAAGAAGTACTAAAGGAAAACAAGTCAAAATTAAGACAAGTCAACGTTGACATACCGGTGATCCTTTCATTGAGAGGTGGTTCTTCAAGAACCTGGGATTGCTGATGGGGGCCTTCGGCAGTAGATTCATGTGGAGGAGGCTTGCAAGGTTCGTCCATAGGAGCAAAATCCTCAAACCCACCAAGATCTGCTCCACCTCTAAGAGCATCTCCTATATCGAAAGCAGTAGGTATATGGCTCCCGTATTCGTCGACATGAGGTGGCCTATGAGGCATATCCTCATTCAGAGCCACGTCTATCTCCTCCCGAGTTTCATGAGGACTAGAGGGACGAGAGTCTTCTACCTCAGCACTTTCCTCAGCATATAAAAACTCCTTGAGTCCTGGTATACGGTTTCATCTAGAAGCATTACCAGATTTATACCGACGCCGAATATATCGCAGTCCCGAAGAATTGACATTGAAGTTTAGGACCGCTGCGTT